TATAACTTTCTACTTTCCTTTCTTTTAAACAAGTACTTTTTGCTTTTTCTCCCAAACTTTGAACAAAACCTCTTTTCTTTGAATTCTCTTTCAGATTTGGCAAAAAATATCAATGATTTTAAAGTTTAATTCAAGAAAAATAGAATCTATCATATATGAACTTTTTATGATTTTTAAAGAAATAGAACAATATTCACTAAATGGTTTACTTAATGCATTATTCAGTTCATAAATGATGGATTCATGTCATATGGCTCAAAAGGGGTAGCAAATGATCACTCACTCACAAGGATATTGAGGTTGCATTTTGGCTTGCTAGTTATGCTCAATTTTCAACGGAATGCCTTGATCCCTTCTATGTATTTACAATAATCAACATAAGTTCAAGATTAAGCATGAATCAAACGAGCTAAAATAAGAATTTTCTATTCTCCTAAGCATATGGTGAACAATGGAAGGTTGGCTCACTTTTCTGGTTTAGAACTAAGTGATTCATAAGGAAACATGTCATGGCATAAGATTGAATGAACTGATTTTATGCAGATTACTCATGTCATGATCATGCTAAATGCTTTAAGAAAGCAATAAACACTTATCTTGGTTTGTGCAATTCTTTTACAATTGTGTCGTTTTACCCTTGCGCCTTTGATTCATGTAATTTTGATCTTCTACTCCTTGCCTTTCCATCTCATTTCAGAGGACAAAAGAGTAAGCAAGGCATTAAAATTTGGACATAGGACACTTGTAGCTAAATATTAAACCAAACACATCAAAACTTGAAAGTGAATAAAATGACATGATTAGTATTTTTTCTGTTTCTGCTATGTCCGTTTAGTGAGAATAGGGCTTCGCTCGAACTCTGCATAATTCAGTTTTTTTGCATAATTTTCTTTGTGCTATGCCATGCCATTTTCTTCATTCTCTTTGAAAGTTTGATAAAATGAGAAAGCATTACATAAGTAAAAGGTTAGGTTACCTCCCAACAAGTGCTTGTTTAACGTCATTAACTCGACGCCTGTTCTGAATCAAGGTGGTTTGTAAGAATTCTTCAAAGTGCTCTCCCCACCATCTATTGGCCTTTATTTATCATCCATTCTTTTTAATATTAGACCTATTTCATCAGGAGCTTTAACTTTGGTGCATTCATCCTCTTTGTTTTGCAAGGCTTGAAACAATTTAAAGTTGACCTCTTCATCTTTGTACCTTACTTTCATCCTTTCTTCATCTATGCCAAACATTATTCGTGTCGTTTTCATGAAGGGACGACCTAAGATTAGAGGTATGTCATCATCATTATCAATGTCCATCACCATAAAATCTGTTGGGAACAAAAAGTTTTTCAACTTCCACCATAACGCCTTTCACTATGCCAACTGGGTTTGTGATAGATTTATCAACAAGTTGTAACACCATTTTTGTAGGTTCCGTATCAAGAATACTGATCTTTTGACAAACGGACAACAAAAGAAGATTTGTGCTTGAACTAAGATCAATCAAAGCTTTAAATTTGAGATTTTCAATGGTGACTGGCACTGTAACACTTTAAGGATCATCATTGTTTTCTTCCTTCTTTTTCTCATTATTTTCTTCTTGACTTCTCACTACAATAATCTTTTCTTTCTCACTCTCCCTAACTTTGTTTTCAACCACTCCCACCTTCATTCTTGTGATTGAATTGTAATTCTCTTTTGAATTGATTTGAGTGGTGATGGTGAATGTACCTCGTTGTTGATCACTTAGCTGCTTTGCAATTTGCCCTACTTGTGTTTCCAAATTTCTGATTGAAGCATCTGTATTTTTATGATTCGCCATAGACAATTGCATGAATTGATTCAAGGTATCTTCTATCTTTAAAAGCCTATCTGGCTGAGTGTAACTTTGATATTGATTCTACCTGTTTTGATTTTGGCCATAGCTTGCGTTGTTTTTGTATGGATAACCTTGATTATTTTGGTACGAAACCTACCTTTGTTGTTGATTTCCCATATAATTGACTTCTTCATTGATCGGGGGACAAAAACCGGTTGAATGGTTTCCTCTACACAATTCACATGATTCTACTTGTTGCGGTTTAGGTGTTTCATGCATTTGTTTGAGTTGTTGTGGAAGTTTTGAGATCTGCTTGGTCAATTCTTCCACAGTTTGCATGAGAAGCTTGTTTTGCACCAAGATCGCATCATTTGTATCCAACTCAAGAATACCAGATTTCTTTTGCGCCACACCTCTGTTGTACTGGACCCGGTGATCACTGAGAGCCATACGGTTGATGATAACAACAACTTCCTCTGCACTTTTAGATAGTAACGAACCACCAGTTGTTATGTCAAGTAAGAGCTTTGGTTGGGGCTGCAATCCATTGTGAAAAACATGAATCTGTATGAGATTAGCGAAACCAAGATTCAGACACTCGTGCAACATGGATTTGTAACATTCCCAAGCTTCACAAAGAGTTTCTATTGCACTCTGCGTGAATGCAGTTATTGTTCTTTTTGCATCCATGAACCGATTGTGCAGAAAGAACCTGTTAAGAAAGTTTTCTTCCAAGACATTCCAATTTCTCATAGTTTCAGTGGGTTGGTCAAGATACCAATCCTTTTCTTTGCCGATCAAGGAATATGGAAACAACCTCATGAAGACAAACTCATCTTCAGCTTCGGGTGCACCTAACGTACCGACAAGCTCATAAATTTTGGTGAGGTGTCTATATTGATCTTCATGGTCCAAACCTAAAAAAGGATTAGCATAAATAATCTCTAGCAGTCTTGTTTTCATTTCGGCTTGTCGGTTGATCGGATTGTTGGAAAGACGAGCCAATCACCTCAGGCTGCTAGCACAGGGACCGTTAACAACTTCAACCATTGTTTTATTTGTTGGTTTTGATGATGAATTTAATGTAGATGTTCCTTTTTGATTTTTCTTCTTTGATAGTTGTTTCTGCTTCTTCGTCTGCCTTTTGTTCTTTTGGATTATTCTTTCGATCTCAGGATCAAAAATAAGTTTTTCTTTTGAACTTTTACCTCAGAGCATAAATAGAATTTTCACCTATCTAAACACTTGAACATACAGTTGCGAAAAACAAATATATACAATATATAACAAATCCACAAAACTTAGAAGTATAGAAACAATTGCGATGTTTTAATACCTTAAATGCCAATCCCCGACAAAAACATCAATTTGGTGTTGAAGTAAAATAAAATATAAGTATTGTGTTTTATCGTATCCACAGGGATTGGTGCGATATCAAAACCGTTCAATATTCTCTATGATTCTAAGCATAAAGTTTCAAGATGTTTGGTTTAAGTTACGAAAAGTAAAAACATATAATAAATAAATATAAATTTCAGAGGAATAGACTTGTTGAGAATTTGTGTTCATTCAATGATTCAATATGCATATCACAAATCAGTTATTCACAATTTAAGCATGTTTCAATATTATCACGTATTACTCACAAACAAAGGTTATGTCTAAACTTTGATGAGATTTCTACCTTATGGTTTAATCGACGATTTCTCAGTCTATTAAACAATACGATAACATTAAGATTCAATACTTTTGGTGAATAGTAAACCTAAATCTATGTCTAGCATTTAGAGTTTAATAAATGTTATCTTAGATCGAGATTAGAACCATATTTGTCGATATCAATTCAATCCATGAAATACACAATAAACCAAAGATAACATCAATAATGATTCAAATGTAAATTGTGTATAACACCATGATTAATGAAAGTACACACTGTATCGACGAACTACAACCAATCGCAATAAGAGAGGAATTTAACTACTCATGGTAGATTTTAGTACAACGGAAGAATTGAGTTGAACGAGCATCAACGAAGATTTCCCGACTCTTGATGTGTATCTAGCTCCTTATCCTCATAACCTCCTTTATTCTATTGTTTACTATTATTATGTTACAAAGTATTATGATAAAAACTGAATGATTATGCTGAATTGAGTATATGTCCTATTTATAGCAGTTCTGGCCGCTTGAGTTTGCTAAGAGAACTAGATTTCGCTAAGCGAAGTCTTTGCTTCTATGCTAAGTTCTCAAATCAACCTGTCTTCTGAAACTGCCAAAGTTCGCTAAGTGAGGTGAGGCTCACTTTGCGAAGTTGATTTCTTCAGCCTGAAGTCTTTTCAAAATATCTTCCTTTAACCGTCCTATTTCGCTAAGCGAAGGCCCGATTCGTTAAGCGAACTGCTTCGTTTCTCCTCGCAGATGGCGAAACTTGCTGATTTGCTTATGCCTTCACTTTGCTAGATGTTCGTTAAACGAAATTTTCGTTGCAACGTTCGCTTAGCGAAGTGTCTGTTTTCTGTTTTTTTTAATGACCAAAACCTGCACAAATGATAACAAAACCAAAGTAGACTTGCACAATATCACTTTTATTCATTAGTTAAGGTTTTTATGTTAAAAACTTGTTATTTAAGTAAGATAAATACTATGTTTTAATAGGACATTTTAACATGAATTAAACATTTATCACACATGCAAGAGAAAATAAAACCCCTATTTAGATATGATCTCTAGTATATTAACCTCTCACAGACCTAAAAGTCAAATTTTTGGCTATTGAAAAATCAATTAATAGAGATGAAAAAAGCCATATAAATTCTAAATAAGGGAGGAACTCAACCTCAGCTAGCCGACCAAACAAAAAAAATGACCAATTACTTGGACTTTAGATGAGGAATACCACGTACATATAATAAATAATAAGACTAAAACTTTAAAAGATGCTGGATGAAGGTCAATTGAGCATTGAGAATGTAGTATAAATCTTTTATTTTCAATTTTTCAACGGTTATTATTAATTATTAATTAATTAAATTATATAAGTTACACCTACGTAATGCTAAATTTGTGAGAAATATATATTCTTACCATAATTAGTGAGAATTAAAGCGGCGTGTTGTTAAAGTTCAAAAACCCAAAATACAAATTGTAATGCGACAAAGAATAGCGCCATTCTCACTGTCGAAACAAAAATGGTTACTCGACGCTTCACTCAACCACCAACCAGCGACGACGAAGACGGTGACTCACCTCCTTCCAAGCCACACTCCACTTCAACAAACTTCGTCGGCGATAACGCTTCCAACCACCGCAAAAGGAAGGTGCTGAACCTTCAAGACGAAGACGACGACGAAGAGGAAGAAGAAGCGTCAAACGTGAACGAGAAAAAGATGAAGTTGAATGATGATGATGATGATGATGATGATGTTGAGGAGGAAGATGAAGCGTCTGGTGAAGAAGATGAAGCGCCATTGGAGGATGCTAAACCTGTTGGTGGACCGGTTAGGGTTTCCGGAAAAGGAAGGGGCAGAAAGAGTCATTTTCAGTCGTTTGAATTCGACGATAACCTATACTCACTCGTATGAATCTCTTACTTCGTTCATTGCAACTAATTTAGAACTAGTAGAGTAGAATTAGTACAATGCATGGTTTTCGTTTTTTTTTTAATCAATGCTTAGTAGTGCATGTTAACTTGTGATTATGAGGTTTTGGTTAGGGTGGTATTGTTTGGGAATTTTGGTCTAAAACTAACTATTATGGTAAAATGTGTGATTTTTTTTTTTTTTGTGTGTGAAGTGGGTTGTATTGTTTCTGCAGGAGGATCCTGTGCTTCTTGTGCCTGAGGGTAAAGACCAAAAACCATATGTGGCGATTATCAAGGTTAGTTCCCCTTGCTCTGTAGCATTGAGACCTTTGAAAATAGGGTGTGTCTGTGTCGGACACTAACACTGACACTTGTGATTATATTTAATTTATTTGTGTTTCATATTATTACTGGTGTTGATGTGTTAGTGTCGGTGTCATGTTTCCGGTGTTCATGCTTCATAGGTTCTTTGTCAAATAATTATGCATGTTGTTTTGAAGATATGTTGGGTGCTTCATAGGTTCCTTGTCAAATAATTATGCATGTTGTTTTGAAGATATGTTGGGTGCTTCATAGGTTCCTTGTCAGATAGTTATGCATGTTGTTTTGAAGATATGTTGGGTTTGGAAAATAAGTAATAAGTAATCAGTTCTGCTAGAAAAGTACATGGAGTACAAGTGATATATTCCCTTGGTTGATGATTGATGTACTTTTTAATTTCAAAGTTTTATGTGAGTAGTTTTTTTAGAGTTTGGTATTGATATACTGCAAGTGTAAAGATGTTTTTAGAGTTTAGTTTTGATACAACTTTCCGTTTTCTGATTTTTGAAGATGTTTTTTTTTTTTTTCTGTCAGGAGATTACACAATCCATAGATGGCAGCTTGAAGATCACAGGGCAGTGGTTTTACCGGCCAGATGAAGCAGCCAAAAAGGGAGGAGGTAACTGGCAATCTAGTGACACCAGAGAGCTGTTTTACAGTTTCCACCGGGATGAGGTTCCAGCGGAATCCGTTATGCATAGGTGTGTGGTGCATTTCGTTCCCATACACAAACAGCTTCCAAATCGTAAGGAGCATCCTGGGTTTATTGTGCAAAAGGTTTATGACACAGTAGAACAGAAGTTGTGGAAGCTTACTGATAAAGACTACGAGGACAGTAAGCAAGAAGAAATTGATGAGCTTGTTCAGAAAACTTTTCAATGTTTGGGTGAGCTGCCTGACATTGAGACTGATGAAGCTCCTGCTGCTCAGGAAGATTTGATTAGAGATGAAAGAACCTTCAAGAAACGGAGTATTTCACCTCTTGATATTTCAAGAGAGGACAGAACATCTCGAAAGAGAGTCCAACCTCCGAAACCTGAAACACCAAGGACTTGTTTAGCTAATACCTCAGAAGAGCATTATCGTATATTAGTGAATTTTAATGCATTAACAGGTGATACCTATCGTGACAAAGGTTTGGTGAAGTTGCTTCAAAATGTTCAATACTTGTTTGATACTGATGAAATCAGAAAGAAAAAAGACACATGCAGCGACAGTTCTGATGCAATCAACAATGGCGGCACCAACAAAAGTTTAGAAATAGAAAAAGAGTGTAAAGACAAAGTTCTGAAGGTACTTCTTAAAATATCCAATTGTGGTTGTGATCTCTTGAGTGGGTTTATTTATGTTCTCATAATCTTTTTATTTGTTTTCCTTTCTCTTGAGGACTAATGAATTCAGCATTTACCTTTTTCAATCTACAGAATTCCAAGTCTTTTATCTGGCCAGATGTTGCTGTTCCAGCTGTAGTTGCTCTAGAGAATGCTTCACATGAAGCATTTCCATCAGATTATCAGAAGTACAGCCAAAAACTACGACAATTAGCATTTAATCTCAAGGTTGGGAGTTACTTTTAATATGGATTCTTAACCTTAAATTTTTATAAGCAATGTCCTTGAACTTAGGAGATACCACAGCACCTGTAGCTACATTTCATTTTGGACAAGTCTGTGTGGGACTTTCTTGTACGTGTAGCTGAATAGATGTTTTATTATATTATTACTTGTTAAAAATCAATGACTAGAAGATTAGATGTCTAATAAAATGGTGTCAATCTTAGCTGGGCTATGTATAGGTCACGTGACTAATGATGAGTTATTGATTTATTTGCTATAGTTATATTAAAATACATTTGTGCTTGTTTGTGTTGTAAATTTTTCTTTAGCTTCCAATAGGATTCTCTGAATGATACGGTCAACTTGCAGTGAATGATTTTTGTGTTCAGTAATGAGTTCAAGCAATGTGTTAGTTATTTTTCCTAGATCCACATCATCTATGGTTATTCATAGTTGTTAGATGAATAATAGCTTTTTGGTAAAACCAGAATTAAGGTTTTAAGGGTGCGATTCTTGTAGCCTTTTGCAGGTTGATGGAATGCTTATAATTTTTTCCCTGACCTTATTTTGCAGAGCAATGCATTTCTGTTATGCCGTCTATTAAATGGAGAGCTTGAACCTTCAAAAATATTGATTATGACACCTACTGAATTGAAGGTATTTAACGAATGCTGTCTTTTCAGCCTTTTTTTTTCCGTTTGAAACTTTGAAGTTCTCTTTTTTATAAATCAAACTTTGAAGTTCTCTTCTCATATGATGTTTTTCTCTTGTAAGTTTTACGCAATTAATTTCTAATTTGATAGTTTCATGTAAATATTCTGTTCGGTCAATACAATTGGTTCAACCTTTATAATTAATTTTCAACTTACTTGATCTATTTATCACATTTCAAATGCTAGCAAAATAAAATAATATATGCTTTTGCTTGAATTTTGTTGACAGCATTGAACCTATGATTATTGGTTACTCATTAATACGTTCTGTGAAAAAGTTGGTAGTATCATGTCAAAATGTTCCAACCTTTTCTTGAAGGTGGGTCTAAAAACTTGTTTAACCTCTAATTAGAACAGATCACAGTGAAAGATCTAAAAACTCTTATGCTCTTTAGCAATGTTGACCACCCTGCATCGGCCCTCCTGATTTGTTTTTCTTGTATTTTCATTGAAGCATCTTTCTTGGGTTAAATCAGCACTATAGTTCGCTGGCAGTATGTGATCAATTGATGATCAAATAGTACTAAAAATGTGTTTATTTTCTGTGATGATGTTTTGAAGGTGGATTGTAATAGTTAAAAGCTCTGGACTTAGTTAAAGAATAGTTGGTACATTTTAAATGATATTTGTTGGATAAGTTTTTCAGAATGCACTCCTAGAAGACTGTTTTTGCTTTTGAAAGAGGATCAATTTCAGAATGTACCGATAAATGTTGGATAAATTTCCAAGTTCTTACTAGTAACTTTGAAAAGATTAATCTGGTTGTTGATTCTGTGTTACTGACTGAATATTTGAATTCCAGGAGGGTTTGACTACTGATGAAATATCCAAGGATGAACCTGAGAAGCCACAACACATGCAGGTGACTTTTTGTTCCACCCCACAATCTTATGTTATCTATTAAGTTGTGTGATTATTATCTACTGACTATTAGCTTTTCCACTGGCAATTCAGATGACGGATACCCGCTGCACACGTTGCTCAGAGCAGAAGGTGGGCGTGAAGGATATTATCCGTGCAGGACATGTTGACCGATATATGGTTTGCACCTAAACTTTGAAATTAATCTCCTGCATTTTTATGACTTTGGTTTGATCGCTGCTCTGCTTGTTCAGCTGGAATGTATCGAATGTGGTCATTCCTGGTCTGCCTCTCACGATGCGGTGTCCATGCTGACGTTAGATGCATCAGATTCAAAAAGAAATGTAGGCACAGCCCCATGGGTCACTGCGAAATTTGAAAAGAAGTTGGTGAGTCCCCGTGAAAATGACAAGTCAAGCAATGACATCTTTATGCCGGAAGCCCATAAATCATTTGGCAAGTCCAGGAAAGATGAAAACAGATGAAAACACGGAAGCTTCAAAGCGTGGTGACTAGGATAAATATTCTGTCTTTTAGGAGATATATACCTATAACTTTTTGTTTGATATGAATATGATGATAGTAGTACTAGCAAAATATTGTTGTCTTCTGACAAGAATATATACTTAATGTATAATGTTACTGTGACATATACTAACTTCCCTCAAAGTTAGGTATGGGGTGTGATGTTGATGTTTCAGTTTTTTTTTTTTTTTGTGAAATATGAAAAAAAATCAAGAAATAATTTTGACTAGAAGATTCCGTTGGTTGATTTTGTGTGTAGTCCCATGCTGTTCCTCCACAATTCATTCAACATGCAAATTAAATATTTTTGTTTTTATTGTTGTCTTTGAGTTTGACGCTTTGACCAAAAAAAGTAATTATTTTTCTCATCATTGCCTTCACCATAGGCAAATTTACACCTCACTCACTCCTACTCTCTCGAATTATCAAAAAAAGCACTTCATTTGACTTGGTCAAGCTATCTCATGGACAACTTGGTTCTGATGATGAAAACACAAGGGCATAGTTGTGAATAAAATAGACCTAAGGAACATTATTTGAGATCTGATTCTTAACTCGACAAAACTGATTATGGTGTTTAAATATCTTATTACTATAAACATTAAAAATACAAATTAAATGTAGGATTCCGTTCCAAATAAGTTAATAGTATATGATTCGTCCATAAAAAGTTATTATGTCATATCTGGCCTTCCCAAAACAATATAATAACAACATTATTTGTTTCCCCAAAACAACTTTCTTTTACTCACACACAAACAATTTAACTTGTCTTTTTATGGACCCATAACATAGCTGAAATTCCACAATTACCCTTCTCTAAGGTGTTAGTTGTCTTTTCACAATGGGCACCATCTCTTTTCTTTCTCGGGTTGCTCATTTACTTTGCTTAGATCGCTGGTCTCATGCTGACTAGTACTGAATATGATATGACCCAAATTAAATAAAATATTCATATTTTATAAAAAAAATAATAAGAAAAAGTAAATAAAAAAAACAACACGATTATGATTATGATGGTGTTTGAAGAACATGGCATGACTATGTAGGGACATCATGTGCAAAATGGACATAATATGCAAAACTTGTTGTCTCTTCTTTCACTTGTTCACTTGTTACCTATCTCTCTCTTAGTTTCGGTTTCTAACATCACTTTCCGGAATCACTTATTGCTTCTTCTATAGTGGTGATTGAACTCAACTTGCTTTTTTGTTTACACTCTTTTTTCTAGCTTATTCTGGATTGTGATTTTGAGTGTTACTATACACATGTGCAAATACATATGACTCTTTTCTCAAATGGGTTGGTTTCTGAAGTTATTCTCCTGCAGTGTTTATGTTCAGGATTGGAAATTTATGATATTCTGCATTGAAGCTGTTTGTTGAAAGTTCTCTTCAAGATCTACACTCCAGTATGTACTTTTCCTTTTTCTCTGCATTCTCCATTGTTTTGGTTTTGTATCTAAATCATACTACACTTTATTATTAACAACTCATTGATGACACTTTACTCAAATCACATTCACATCTGGGTATTATACAGATCATGCAATATTCTCTCATGTATAATTTTTTAGGGTACTAGTGGGTCTCCCCTTACAATAATTGTTGCTTCAGATGTTATTATAATTGCCATTTCAAAATTAAATGTTTTAGGTGAATTTAGATGATTGTTCTGCAATGCAAGTATCACAAGTGTCAGTGTTGTGTCGAACACTCAAACATGCCTTCAATATGAAGTGTTGGTGCTACATTGTTTATTACTTGTAGCCATTGTTGTATATAGATTTAGTTAAAGAGTAACCATGTTTTTGCCACAAACTAATTTATGTGAATTTTTGTTGTTGTTTTCATGTAAAGGTGGTGCAGGTCTTTGAATTCGTCAATGGGGAAAGAGTTGGAGATGGATCTCACTGGCAAATCTTCAGAAGGTTTGAGTCCTAATACTGTTCTTCCACCTCAGCAATATAGTGTGAATGTTAAGAAGAGGTCTAAAAAAGGGAAATCCTCAGGGAAAAATGAAATTTTTACCATGAAGGAAGACTTTGCAGAGATTAAATTTGCCCGTTTCCGAAGTTCTTCATGTAAGAGTCGCCTCTCTAGAATACCTCATGGATTGGAAGGTGATAATGTAGAAGAAACAAGGAGGGTCTCCATGTATCAGAGTTCCGAGGAAGTAAGAGACATAAAGAAGATGGGGGGAAGAAAAAAGTTAGAATTTTCGAGGAGTGACATCTCTTTCTCAAGTAGCATTGTTGATTCTTTATGTGGTTCAGATGATGATGGTTCCAATCACAGACCTTCAGATATATCTCAGTATTCAAATTTCGGTTCCAGATCCTCAGCTTGCCAGGAGCCGGACAATTCAAATGATTTTATCGAGATTTGCATGGATTCAAATTTTAAGAATAAAAACTCTAATGCAGTAGAAGGTAGAGGTTCTGTAAATTTAAAGTCTAGAAGTGATAAAGTTGCTGATTCTATAATGAATGGTAATTTTTTTCTTGAAAAGGACAGAGTTCACTCATTGCAGAAGTCACTCTCTGCTAAAGAGGAAGCCTCTAATTTGATATCTCCTTTGGAAAATGATTACTTATCAAAAGTGCGATTCAATTCCGTCAAGAAAAGGATGAATAATTTCAAAAAGTCGAAGTCTTTGAGAAGTCCACTTAGTCATATCGCGGAAACTAATGATGAGGTAAAATCAAATGAGACATCAGAGACTATAAGCAACAGGACTCATCAGAAATATTTGCTGAATGACTTATCGAACACAGGAAAGCATTCTGATATTATTTCTGAGTTTATCAACAGAGAAATCAAGTATTCGGGAATAGCATCTTCGCCGGTTCATCTGCATGGTAATCTCAAGTTGGAAAGCAAACACGGAATGCCTTTCTTTGAGTTCAAGGTGAAGTGTCCTGAAGATGTTTTTGTGGCCAAGACATGGAGAATAGGTAATGGTTTCAACTTTGTATACACCTTTCACTCCACTGATTATAATAGAAAGAAGAGCAATGCCGCCGAGTTGGAATCTCATGATTTTGACAAAGATTCCTCAATAGTAGCAAAGATGCTAGTTTCCAGTAATTTAGGTTCAGAAATAAAAGACAAAGTATCTGACAACTCTATGGTGACGGAATTTGTGTTGTATGATCTCTCACACTCAAGACATAGTGTTTCGGCCGAAAAAAAGTCTTTATGTGAACAAAATGCGATTAAAACTCGAAAAGCTTCCCGAGTTGGACCGAAAGAAGAAACTTTTGGGGTGGTTTTTGAAGAGAACATAGCAATCAGAAACAAACTTCAAGACAAGCCCCTATCAGGCAAAGTTGAATCTGCCGATTCAAATTATTTTCCCTTGTTGCCTACTGAATCCTATTCGAACCTCGAAGTTGCTGCGATTGTCTTGGAAATTCCATTTTCTAAGAGAGAAAGTTTGAAGTACAAGAGAGATGATAGATTATGCGATAAAGAATATTCCAACATAAGCAATCTCTGTGCAGTAGTTGATCAGAGTAGAAAGAGCCTTCATGACAGAAAATTCCAGGAACAGTTGAAGGTGGTAATACCAACAGGTTACCATGGTTTGCCAAACCCTGAATGCCGGGGTCCCTCATCATTACTTGATCGGTTGAGACATGGAGGTGGTTGTGACTGTGGTGGTTGGGACATGGCTTGTCCCCTTGTAATTTTAGGCAATCCTAGTCTTCAATTTGCTGAAGATCACTCACTTATAGAGGATTATCAACCGCTGGAACTTTTTGTTCAGGTACAACTTGAATTTAACAGTAAATGTTTCTTGAAGGGATTTGATAGATGAAACACTATAGTATTGTTACTTTTGAGTAAATTAGGAGACACATGCATCTTACTACACTTTTGCATCCCGTTCTCCAAATGGCTTCATATTTCTTATGGAGCTCTTCATTACACTAAAGTATATTAACTGATTCGCGCAATTCATAACGGTAATACGAATTGAGTTGATTCAGCATGAACTCTACAGTTCTGTCATCTGTGATTCATTGTATGACAGGAATTGTTGGCTTATTGACTCGTATTGAGCCGTCATATATTCAAATCATGAATATTAAGATGTAATAACTATGGTTTATATATTAGGTGCAGGATTGGCCAATGCAATATTTCTTATTACAGTTCTCTCTTTTTACTTCAATATAGCATGTTTAACTTGCTTAGTTATGAGATTGTTATTGTTTTTTTACTTATCCGAACTTTTGGTGCACAGGGAGCAAAAGAAAGTAGTCCTACTTTCAGTATGAGAATGGTTGAAGTGGGGAATTATGCTATTGATTTTCATGCACAGTTATCCACATTACAAGCATTCTCCATCTGTGTTGCCATTTTGCATGGAGCTTCTCCATTCAGCAGTGCAAGGAACGAGAAAAACCAGCAGCTAACTCAATGCAGTTCGTTGAAAATGCTTCTTGAGGAGGATGTAGAGTGTTTTTTCAAATCGATCACGACCGAGAAGAAGACTGTGTGCAAGACTCCAAAAGGAGTTCCTAGATCCTATGTGGTGAACCCGACTTTTTCTCCTGTTGCGCGCGTGTAAAGTTTACTAGGATAGCATGTTAGTCATTATTAGTTAGAGGTTTCAAAAATATTCTTTTGTAACAAGTTCTTGTAGACAGAAGCCCAAAATTGTTCATATTGTAATGTGGGATAGAATCAAGAATGGGGAGATGAAGAGAGAAAGAGAGCTATGCTCTCTTCATGTTTGTATCTATTGAAAATAAAATAATATTCTGAAATGATTACGAGGGGAAATGGATTTGAAGTATATCATTTTAAATTTTACATTAGATAAAACTTTATGAACCTCTCCAAGATATATACATCCAAGATGTAAGGAATATTCTGTTACTCTCAGCTTATCAATCATGCTCCTTACATTTGCTGCGAGTTCTTTTCACTATTATTTTATTTTCTCATTGTTTCTTAATTGCATAAACATTAAGAGTGATTACAAATTGATTGAGATACACACTCTCTAAAACCTAAAAAAACGTTTTTCTTTGCCTTATTATTTCACCGACTTGTGCGTCGGAGTGTTTGTAGATACCACCCATCATTTTCTCTTAGCTAAAAGGAGACATTGGAAGGATAAATGATGCTGAAAATTGTCATCTTATTAAGGTCAAACCTTTCACCGAAACATTTTGGTCTGGGTCGGATCAAAGACCATACCATATTATAAAACATTTTGATACAGGGGGAGTAGATAGTAACAATATTATTGGTGTATGTGGATGCCATTATAATCAAAGATGATGAGGAGGAGGAACAACAATTGTTGAGCAAACACTTTTCTAAAGAATTTGAGATTAAGACATTGGAAAAATTGAATTACTTTCTAGGAATTGACGTTGCTTACTCTTCTAAGAAAGGATCATATCTCAATAGAAAAGACATAATGCAAGCATAAAAGACATAATGCAAGCATGCAAATACACCTATTGATTCAAGTGTAAGGTTTGGAAATACAGCAGAAGATACTGTAGTTGATAAAAAAATGTATAAAAGGTTGTTTTGAAAAGTTACACACTTCTCACATATTAGATTTGATGTTACTTTTGTTGATAATTTAGTCAACCAATTTATGAATTGACCAACGGAGATTCAGTTACAATTTACACTATGAATTGTGTAATATTTGAAAGATATAGTGATACTAACTATGCATTGTCAATTGTGGATAGGATATCAACTAGAGATTATAACACTTAGAAGATTAAAAAACTAAGTGTATAATCCAGATCTAGTGTTGAAGCAGAGTTCATGAAAATGGCAGAAGGGATATGATCTTAGGAGACTTGAAGATAAATTGTGATGAACCAATAAGATCAAAGTCGATTTCAATGTAACTCTTGATCCATTGCACCTTTTTCATAGTGTCTTTTAATAAGGGGTCTAACAATACTCCCCTTAAAAGAGTCACTTTGTCCTCAAGGTGAAATGAATAAATTTTTTCCTTATTATATCAAGTCATTCCCATGCAGCTTCAAAACTGGACAAATCATTAAAGTGTAAGTACTAATGCAGAGCCACTAAAATTGTTGCGAACAACTAGAACTATATCAGAGAAAACTCGTAATTCCAAATCTTCTAAGAGCATTGGTGGAAGTGGTTGTGGATTAGCCGAAGGAGACAATATTTTTTTTAAACAATGATGCATGAAAAACAAAATGTATTTTACTCTCTATTGGTAAAGCTAATTCAAAAGTGACTATACCAATTTGTTTGACTATCTAATATGGACCATAGAAATGAGAGTTTAGTTTTTTATTTTAGTTTCTTAGTAAGAGATTTCAGCTTGTAAGGTGGCAATTATGGAAGTCAAAATCGCGATACCACTCATAAGATCGTACGATTTTGTGATCTTGCAACCCCTACCATGCTAGAGAATGTCCGAATTCAGTTTTTGGTAGGAGAAATTTGAATCGCCGCGATAACACGTGAAAATGGTGGAATCATTGTTTTTTTGGAAGAACCGTCCTTTCTGTCAAAGCCCCAAGAAATCAATGTTTGTGGATCGGGTTCGCGACCTGATTCAGAAAAACCCTAAAAAAACTTTTTAATTTATGATTGAAATTTGAAAAGTTTCTTTTTTGCTTGACATTTAAACTATTTATGCCTAGTTAAAATGAGTAATCAATGCCCACCCACCCAATAACCAACATGTGAGATTTTGGATCAAACTGTAGTATCTCGACAGGGATAGCTTCTTGGTTCGACAAAGATTGAGCATGATGTCGAAGTCTGATCACATGTTGATGTCTAAGTCGTGTATGTTGTAGTTGAATTGTATTCTAGCATGCAGTAGTCGATAATGCTAGGTTTGTTAGCATGTCAAACTGGGTCTGTTTGTTTAGCCCAATTATTAAAGTTAGCTTGTAACTTAGTTAGATTTGTAGTCTATAAATAGACTAGTTATCTCAGGATTTTGAGAGAGGTTGGTTATTGTTATTCACTTGTAATATGTAAACCCTAATAAAGAAAGTGAATAAAAAACAGTTACAACCAATCCTAATTTTCTTCTTCTTCTTCCATCTTCTCTCCCTTTCATGAATACCTAATAGATTTTCCTGTGTTTGTTCAAGAAACTTAATCTTTCTCATAGTTTACGTTTGTTCTTGATGACACTCCGGAAGAAAAAAATGGGTGCAGTGAGCGTAGAGAAGGAGATGCTGCCAATAAAGTTTGAGATTGAGAAATTCACCGGTGTGAATGATTTCAGTTTACAGCGCTTGAATATGCAAGCCCTTCTTGTTCAACATGGTTTGTTAGAAGCATTGAAAGGATCAAAGAATATGGATGCTTCCCTAATGGGGAAGGAGAAGGCGACAATGATAGAGAAATCCCACAACGCCATCATATTAAGCCTTGGTGATAAGGTTCTCCGAAAGGTTTTGAAGGAGAAGACGACGATGAATGTGTGGACAAAAATCAAAAGTTTGTACATGATAAAATTGTTGGTCAATCGCCTCTATCTGAAGCAAGCTTTGTATTCATTCAATATGAGTGAAGACAAAGTCTTGACTGAATAACTAGATATGTTCAATAAGCTGATTCTTAATCTGGAAAAGATTGAGGTTACCATCAGTGATGAAGATCAATCATTGATGTTGTTGTGTGCTTTACCAAGATCTCATTACCACTCTTGCCTGAAAGAGAGTCCCTGACCTTTGAAGAAGTTTAATCAGACTTGTACTTTAAGGATTTGAATGAACAAAAAGAGCATAAGCCACCATCTATTGGCGAAAGATTATCCGTAAAAGGAAAATTCTCGAAGAAGGATGGTAAGTTTGAGAAGAAGAAAGGTAAAAGTCCACAAAAGTCTTATGATGGTGATGATCCTGCTATTAGGTGTTACCACTGTAAGAAGGAATGTCATACCGGAAAAGTGTGTCCTGACAGGTTAAAAAGTTATGGCGATGGAAATGACAAGGGAAATGCAACCATTGTTCAAGATAATTATGAATCATATGATGTTTTGGTGGTTTTTAATGGAGATTTAAACAAGGAATGGATTATGGATTCAAGTTGCACTTGCCACATGACTCCAAACATAGATTTGTTTGAGGAATTATGTGATCAAGATGGTGGATCGGTGTTACTAGGAGAAAACAAAGCCTACAAAATTACAGGAATTAGATATGTTATATTCAAGCTTCATAATGGGTCAATAAAGCTCTTGACTGGCGTCAGGTATGTATCTGATCTTAAGAGGAATTTGATTTCTCTGGGTGAATTCGACAAGAAAGGATATATTTTAAAAGGAGAGCAAATATCCTAAGGGTAATGAAGGGGTCGAAGGAAGTCTTAAGAGGAATCAAAAGGCAATAACTGTATACCTTTGAGGCTGAGGTTATACGTGGTTCAACAAATGTGGCATCCATAAAACCTGTGTCATAGACTGAGCTATAGAACAAGAGACTTGGTCATGTTAGTAAAAGAGGTATGGTATAATTGTCAAAACAAAATCTGCTATTTGGTGACAAGTTCGAAAAGCTGGAGTTTTGTGAACCTTGTGTATTTGGTAAATCCTGTAGGGTAAAGTTTAAAAAAGATAAAAAAATAACACATGTATCCCTTGATTATATCTATGCCGATCTTTGGGGGCATGCAAATTGTCCTTACCATTAAGGTGCAAGGTGTTTTTTATCCATATTTGATAATTATTCCATAAAGTTATGGGTATTCATTCAGAAAGCGTATGGTGGAACTTTTGAAAATTTCAAAAGTTGGAAGAATTTGGTCGAAAACCAATATGGAAAGAAAGTCAAGATGTTGAGGATAAATAATGGTATTGAATTTTGCAACGAGGCTTTCGACAGCTATTGTGTTGTGTTTGGTATTGCAAGAAACAAAACTACTGCATGTACTCCTCTGCAAAATGGTTTAGCTAAAAGGTTTAATCGAACCATTTTGGAAAGAGTTAGATGCATGTTGCTTAGTGATAGATTGAAGAAGGTGTTTTGGGCTGAGTCTATTTTGACAACAACTTACCTGATAAATAGGTGTCCCTCGACTACCTTGGGGATGAAGACACCTGAAGAAGTTTGTTTGGGTCATCCACCAGATCTTAACAAACTTAGAGTATTTAGTTGTGTAGCCTATGCTCTCATTAGGTAAGACAAGGTCGAACCTAGAACTTCGAGATGCATGTTCATAGGGTATCCCGAGGGAGTAAAATCCTATAGGTCGTGGTGCCTAGAACCAGGTCACAAAATGAGTGGTGATGTAGTTTTCAATGAAGCAAAAATGATGTTCAAGAAAACTGATGAAGCTGGTCGAAACACATAAATCTATGAAGAAGACAGGAACTAGAAGAGATTCTTGTTGAGGTGGATCATATTGATGCTGAATTACATAACCCAAATGAAGTCAGAGAAGAAGCATAAGTTGCTGATGAAGAAGAGGAAATTGATAATGACTACCTGCTGGATAGAGACATGTCGAGAAGAGTCATCAAGCCACCTCAGAGACTTGGTTAGACATATATTAAAACGTTTTCCTTAATCTTTACAAGCGAGATTCTTGATAAAGAAC